GATAAATGTTCAGTAAGTCAAGTGTTGGCTTGATTATGTTAATGAAGAAGGCTGAGACCGTGCCCTAGAATCCTGTTCTATGCCTTGCTGTGCTTGGTCCTCAGCAGTGTTTGTGAATTCAGTTGACTGTTGGCTTAAACAAAGCAGTAAAATTTCACAGACACTTGAATTTCTCCTCCACCGCAGTTGCAAAGGAACAATAGAAAATCATTTGATTTCTGCGCTCGGGACCCAGAACTCGTAGGTTCTATGTCTTACATAAAATCTCAACTCTGGAGAAGTGTCCGAAATGGAAGTAAGGCGGTGAGAGGTGTGACAAAAAGGTTGACTCAAGTAAATGCTTTCTCATCTCTTAAGAGAAATGATGGCCTTTGTGATTCTAAATAAGAGGCAGCAAAAGCCAAGTCACTTTGCTTTCCTCCACATTCAGTAATATGATCAAGGCCTAGTCAATGTCTATGGTGGGAGAAGGACAGCGTCACGCCAGGTACCACCACACCTCTTGCTTGCTGGCACTGGGCAGGAGGCTTTGTGGTGAATGCTGTAGGAAGCCACAAATCCACCATTCTCAGGTGCACATCTGCAAATGCACACCTTCTGCATTGATTCTTTCAGCATCATCAATGAGCACGCGCCATGGGCACCTCGTTTCATGAAGGGTTTTAGTTGATGTGGGTGTTTCATGCAAACGAGGGGGCATTTTTGTGGACAGAAGGAGATTCAGGAGGAAAACATGTTTATTTTCAGGAATTTGAAGGTCTTGTAAGCAGAAGAGACTTCAGGCTTCTTTAGAATTATCATGAGTTGTCCCTGAAGCAGAACTAGACCAGTGTTCTTCATACGGTTTCATTATTTGAGTCAATAATGAAAATATCTCACGTGGCGTTCCACCACCGAGTGTGTATGGCCCTTGCTTGCCTTTCCAGCCTCGTGTCTTGCTGAGACTCTGTTGTCCAGTCACCTGGCTCCTCTTTCAGCCCCTCACACTTTCTTTCTTCTGCTGCCCCTGCCTGGGTCACACACGATTACAGTGTAGTTGGCTCAAAGTTCACACCCAGGTGTGTCTCTTATAAAATATCGCCATTAGAAGGGGACCTATATAACTCATTGCTTTTATGCATGGGTTGATGGATTTCTTTGTTATCACTCAACAAATATTTATAGTTCCTACGACATGAGTTTAACACCATCCTCAGGCCTTGCCCTCGATAGCACCTCAGATAAGATTCTTCCCAGAGCACTCCCGCTGTTTCTCATCCTGACACCTCCTACCCCCCCACACTTGAGTGGAAACTTCTTCAAAGTGACAAGGAGAGTGCCCATTTGGTAAAGGATTGCTTCTCTAATGTCTAGCCCAGTGCCTGACACACATACTAGCAGCAACTCAACATGGTTGAGTCATGATAGAAAAATAAATTAATGAATGCAAAAAGACAGTGAGCTTTCTGTCCACTGAAGTATTGTACAGAGAGTGGATACCCATCTGATAGAGATCTTTTAGAAAAGGTGTTCTTTTGGGCATATACACACCACACCACATTGTAATTGCTGGTTTCCTGAGCTCACTTCCCCATTTGACTGTAAGCCTCTTGAGAACGGGAGCAGATTTGATTTGTTTTTGAAATCCTACACAATAAGCATATACTCAGTGTTTGGAAAGTGTACAAAAAGTCTATTTTCTGAGAATGGACTCTTTACAGAACAAGAATACTGGAGCACTGAAGGAAAAAAAAAATGGCAATAATAGAATTCACTTGCTTTGCCAGGCCACTAAGAGTACCTTGGTAAATATTAGCTCAAGTACAGCCCTTTGCTTGCTATTAAGATTTACTGATTTCAATAGAAAGTAACCTAAAAACCGTACATGCTACACAACATAGACAACCAGGGCCAATCTCTGACGAGCCCATAGTACAAAAAATACATATTTGCTCTGTCTGTGGTTAGATTAGATGTCATTGTCTAAGCAAAGTAGGCTATGTGCTGATTACAATGGGTCTGCCATGTGAATGATGGGTTTGGTCAAGGGATGGATTTATCCCATATTCTTACATTCTTTAGGTATCATTCTTCTCACTCTTTGGGTAAATAAATCAACAGCACTGGCCAACACAGTACATGTGAAAACTACCTTCAGTAAATGCCAGATTTTATAAAATAACTCCAACAATAAAAGACTGCTTAAAATCTGTTTCTTACATAACAGAGACTATTGTATAGAGAGATTGACCTGGTATCTTGTTTCTTCCTGGGGTGACCTTACTTTCATCTTACGAATATGTACTGATCTAAGTCTATATATTTACCTGTATCTTTGTTAACATTTGGAAATCTCAGGATCTCAGTGTATTTCAGAGAACAGGCTCAGAGATCGATGATAACTAATTCTTTCTGGTGGAAAGCTAATAGGCATGACCTATGAGAAACAGCAAGAGAGCTATATAGAGCGTGGCAAAGGAGAGGAGGAAAATGCTGGAACTCAAGCCATGCCTGCTGCCCAGGGACCTTAGCTGGGGGGTTGTCATGTCTTAGCATGACGGTATTCAAGCCATGTGAGGTCTGAAAAAAAAAATACATACCCAGCTTGGGGCTCAGTCTGAGAACAACCAATTGCCTTGGTTTAAGCCACCCAACTCCACTATCAAATTAAATGTTTTCAAGCTAATAGAAATTAGCATCAGTCCACTGACCAAACCCTAAAATAAATTAGGCCGAGTCTAAAAGAAATCAGTCTGCAGACAGAGACCAACTCCAAAGGCCACTTCCTTGCTTTCCCCAGACATGGATACATCGGGTCGGAATATGCTTAGGATGTTGGTAAGTGCAGACGGTCTGGGGAAAGCATTATAAGCTGACTGCTTTTGTTTTAGCTCTTTGCAAGGCCAGGCAGATATTGTATTAGTAATGCAGGCAAGGAAGCCCAGACTTATCCAAGAGATAAATCAGAGGTTACTTATTCACTCTACAGAAATATTCTTTATTTTCGAAAATGAAATGAACTTAGGAGAGACTGGAAGAGAAGTTGTGAGGAAGAAAAACTCAGGAGTTGTGCTTTGGGAGCCAACTCTGGAAATATAATGTGTGACAAAGAGAATATGGATTCGCCTGATAAATGTTGGCTTGAGAATTATTATTTTATTTCTACGAAGAGCTTTTAATGAACACAGGAGAGGGAGGAACGTAAACCAGGTTAAACTATGTGTGTGCAGAGAAAGGAGAGAGGCTGGGGAGGGAGCAGACTCTTCTTCAGTGTGCCTCACCTGGGACCAACCCCTACGACTCTTTGGGGACTTGAGGTCCATGAGGGTTGGGTGGGATGTGGGCAGGGCCCTCTGAGTGTGTGCACTGCTGTTTGCTCTCCTGGTAGCATTTTCTTTCTCTGTATCTATAGAACTTGTCCTCAAAATTTCAAATCACCACGGCTGTGGTTTTCTTTTTACCACTTCTACCTGGTGTTGGCTTCTTATGTTTTCACCTGGCTTAAGGCTGTGAACACAACAGTGTGGGATAGTACTTTTGTTTAAAATGTATCACTAAGTTGGTTTCGCTTCCCGGTTTGTATGAATAAACATATTTTTGAAGGGGGATTTTGAAATCTATTTTAGAAACATATTTGCATTTAATTAAAAATACCACGAAGACATTGCTAACCATGGTGGGCACACCTTAGAGTGGGGGAGGGCACATCTAGGGGAGCAGGTAGTCTAGTGTTGATGACTGTGGCTTTCATCATTGTTGGCTGTTTAGGGGAAAATCCCTTCACTTTTTTTGCTGTAAACTGGAAGTCATAATAATGTCATCAACAAGAAACCATTGAGTAGATGGTATTTTGAAGAGCTTACTTCATTCACTGAATTATTCCATTTAAGCTCATTGAATAACTATCGAGTGTCCATAGACTGTGCTAGCAGCTGGGGTAGAGGAGTGAATAAAGCATGGTTCTACCTTTATGGAGAATTATTTGGAATATTATTTAAATCAGAGCTTCCCAGTCCTTCAGCTTAGAATCAGGGAAGAAAGCATGAGCTATTGATGGTGACCATGATACCATTCCTCTTAGGAATCTTGGCACATCATGGAGAGAAAAAGGAAACAGGCTTGTAGCTCCACTGAGCAAACTGCTGAGATCATAGGGTAGGACTTGACCAAACTGTATTGAGGAACTCTGTTCTAAATAGTCTCAAACATTTAAAAAAAAAAAAAAAAAAAGGAAGTTGACCAATATTTGTCTTAAAATGTTTCAAGCAAATCTGACTTTAGAATATAAAATTTAATAACTGAGATGCAGCATATTAGAGGTTCCTCTGGACTGGAAGCAGGGAACCTTATGGTTTATGTTTTTAGTTGTCATCCTGCCACTGGTTAGTACACGACTCTGGCTATGTCATTAAAATTTTCTGAATCTCTGTTCCTTCACTGGATAAATGAGAAAATTGAACTGGTCAAGATTCCTTTTGATACTGAGTGATAATAGCAGGAAAGAAGATGCTTTAGGTAGTAGAGCAATGAATCTTTTTTATGGTTATTTATTTTCATATTTTACAAAAAATATAAGTAGTCCTTCCAGCTTCTGCTTTCACAGATATTTTTGCTTAGCAGAAGGCAAACATTTATTAAAGGAAAAGGAGAATTGATTTAAAGAGTAATATCAGATAAATCATAGTACAGGTCATAATTGGTTATCACAAGCATTTTTAAGTTTGTGTGCCACTGACTAAGGTCAGGAAACTTTTGAATACAGGCCCTCTTAAGTTCCTTCCATTTTGATCTCTCTGTAATTATTTTCCCTCTTTATATCTAAGCAATATGGTCTTTTGGTGGAAAGTTTCTGTTGAAAATAGTGTTGCAGTATCCAGAATAAACTGTCAGCTTTTCTGAATGCTCAGTAATTCAGATTGTTTTGAATGGTCTTTCATATATAGTTAGCTCTTCATGTGAGGCACCTAGTCCACTGCTGCTGTAAACATCATTTCATTTTGTTTGTTTTTGATGTGTTTCAGATCAGAGTGTTGACAGAAAGAATGTTCAAACATCTTCGGAAATGGTTTGTTACTCACTTTTTGGGGCATTCTCGGCAAAGAGCAAGACTGGTCTCCAAAGATGGAAGGTGCAACATAGAGTTTGGCAACGTGGAGGCCCAGTCAAGGTTTATATTCTTTGTGGACATCTGGACAACTGTGCTTGACCTCAAATGGAGATACAAAATGACCATCTTCATTTCAACCTTCTTGGGGAGTTGGTTCTTCTTTGGTCTTCTGTGGTATGCGGTAGCCTACATCCACAAAGATCTCCCTGAGTTCCATCCTTCTGTCAACCACACCCCTTGTGTGGAGAACATTAATGGCTTGACCTCAGCTTTTCTGTTTTCTCTGGAAACACAAGTGACTATTGGATATGGATTCAGGTGTGTGACAGAACAATGTGGCACTGCCATTTTCCTTCTTATCTTCCAGTCTATACTTGGAGTCATCATCAATTCTTTCATGTGTGGTGCCATTTTAGCCAAGATCTCCAGACCCAAAAAACGTGCCAAGACCATTACATTCAGCAAGAACGCAGTGATCAGTAAGCGGGGCGGGAAGCTTTGTCTCCTAATCCGAGTGGTTAATCTTAGGAAGAGCCTCCTTATTGGGAGTCACATATATGGAAAGCTCCTGAGGACCACAGTCACTCCTGAAGGAGAGACTATTATTTTGGACCAGATCAATATCAACTTTGTAGTTGATGCAGGGAATGAAAATTTATTCTTCATCTCCCCATTGACAATTTACCATGTCATTGATCAAAACAGCCCCTTCTTCCACATGGCAGCAGAAACTCTTCCCCAGCAAGACTTTGAATTAGTAGTGTTTTTAGATGGCACAGTGGAATCAACCAGTGCTACCTGCCAAGTCCGAACATCCTATGTCCCAGAAGAGGTGCTCTGGGGCTACCGTTTTGCTCCCATGGTATCCAAGACTAAGGAAGGGAAATACCGAGTGGATTTCCATAACTTTAGTAAGACTGTGGAAGTGGAGACCCCTCATTGTGCCTTGTGCCTTTATAACGAGAAAGATGCTAGAGCCAGGATGAAAAGAGGCTATGACAATCCCAACTTCAACTTGTCAGAAGTCAATGAAACAGATGACACCAAAATGTGACAGTGGTTTTTCAACAGGAGTAAAGCAAAGTCTTGAAGATACCTAGTGACTAGAAGTATTAGGAAGCAATCAACAATTTGAGGATATGAAATTAGGACAAGAGCCTTCAACGTCTATCAGCACCATGCCCCTGAATCCCACAGCCATGATTTTACAAGACAGGTAGCTCTACAAGGCAACTGCTTTAGAACATGAAATATTCTTACAGGAAATAGCAGTATGGAAGCCATAGGAGTTCACTTGGAATCTTGAATATGATTATTTGAAATCATGCAGTGTTGATAGAAACAAAATCATCAAAAGTTTAATGGACAGGTCAAATGAGATCTTAAAAGTCTCCTTGAAGAAGTTATGAGCTTTAGATAGGATCAGGGAAAAACCATATTCTCATTTTTATTCTACTGATAAGAAATAAGCCACTTTTAACATTGGCTTTTATCAAGGGAAAAATGGTCTCCCTCAGAGAGCCATTTTTGGTTGGTTGGAGGAGATGAACTAATCAGAGACAGTAAGAAAAGACTGGTGGGTACCCCAAGAAAATCTGTGAAGCTCTGAGCTTCTCCAACCCTGGTTGTTGGAGCTTTCATCTTAGTCTGGGTCATGCTGTGTTTCCTGAAGAGCAAGGGAAGGCTCAAGCCATGGACCTTGCATCTCTATGTATCCAATGTGGAGAGGAACACTGAACTCAACCTGCTTTATGGTGCTTCCAGACACTGTAGCCCAAGTTGGGTTTTGGCCCAAATGATCTCACATGGTACATTTAGAGGCTAAATCATCACCCTAGAATCTCAATGAATACTTTCCTGAAGAAAGAATGCTTGATTTGAACATGGTGGTGATATTTCTTCCAATTTGTGTTAGGTGGGATAAAGGGCTACAAATCTGTTAAAAGAATATTTCCTGATCTTCCAAGAAGGCAGGGAAGAGTTTAAAGGCACAATGTCAGTTTAGAAGGGACAATACTGCTAGTGCTTCTGAGAAAAAAGGATCTTGTGTTTTTCTGCCTTGAGTTTGTACTGAAATGCTGTTTCTAAAGAAGACTTGTGGAAAGGAAAGGGATGGTCTGTGACCCCTCAGGGAGGTAAACACGAGGTGTGTTTTTCTCTGAGGGCCAACACTGCATCTTTCTCAAAGGGACCAGCTTAATATAAGGATTGATCTCTAGAGAAGGGTTTTACTGTGAATGTCTCATTCGGTCCTCCACCTCCATTATTTTGAATCTATCCTGGGAGGAATGGGACTCAAAGCTCTTTAGGAATCAAAATGTTTTCAGTGTGTTGATTCATATATTAAATCTCTGAAACAGTGCACATGCTTTCCAAAAGTGTCAGTTATTGTGTGTTAACTGTAACCGACTGGCAGCTGACATGCGTGTTAACTGTAACAGACCGAACAGGTGACATCCCTCTTGCTGAGGGTGGACTTTCTCCTGGGCGATGTGGGAGGGGTGGGAAAATGGCAAATAAGACCATATGTTGTCTGGACACCAGCTTACCCTGGGGGAAAAGACCCTGTGGTTACAGGCATGTCTCTTCCCTGTACCACTCCTGAGGATCACTCCCATGTGTCTTGGGCACCCAAAGTGGTGGTTGTGGTAGTTTTCACTGGGGATGGTTCTGTTTTCCCAGGCCTGGGCATGAGTTTGTTCATATTCATACACACGCTCTGGTCCTTCTGATTGAGATCAGTACGAAGTCTGACGGGCTAAGAGTTGTGCACTTTGTCAGTGGCCGTAACACTGGACGCAACTGGCCTACATGGGAGATTAGTCTGTGCCTATAAGTGTGCCGGCACCGCAATTTGATCTATTGACAAAGCTAAAGGAAATGAGGTATGAAAAGCTTGAGGAAGCCAGAATTCTCTGGTGGCCCACTGTCATGAGGTTTTATGACTCTGTAGTCCCTTCATAAACTGGAGGGTCAGAACACATTCCTTCTGGTCTGTTCTGCTCATTAACAGCATGCTTGGGGATTGCTGGAAGTGAAATGATCTTATAAAATCTACTCCTTTTGATGGTTAAGAGAGCTGAAAAACTGGAATCCTTCTGGGTTATTCGGTGGAAATCTGTGCTTTCAAATATTCCTTTATTAGGATTAAGGCATTCTGCTATCTGGCGTCTCTTTCTTCATGCAAATTCCCATCGAACCTCTAGCAACCATTAATATACTTACATCCAATAAAGCCCTGAGGAAATGAGCATCCGCAGGTACCTTTTAATAATCCTAAGGAGTGGCCGGAACCCAAAAGCAGCATAAAAAACCTGGATGTTTAAAAAGAGGGGGTGACCAAAGGCACAGGAGCTCAGTGAGTAAAGAAAATAAATGGGAAATAGAAGGTTCCAGAAGGCTAACTTGCCTAAAGGTTAATGCCAATGCTAAAGGCAGGCTTTTTATTCCAATGAAGTAACGTTGTTCCCAGCAGGACCTGACCATATTAGTACTGTAATTGCTACAGGTGCGCCATATTGTTATATTTACTTAATTATCTATCCTTTCTGAAAGCAATTCAGTATTTCTTATTCCTTCCAAGAAAAACTGCATCCCATGATGCTGTACCATATTCAGAGTTTTCCTTGGCACCAACTCCCCCTGAAGTGCCTAATTTAGCTCCGTTGCTATGAGGGTTTTGATTTGGAGAGTCCCAACCTGGTCTAATCTCCCAGGACTTAGGTCGACTCTGGTGCCAATATTCAGATTTAAGATTTGGGAGATGGTCTAAAAATTTATTCTACAAGAGAGAAAGAGTGGAAGGAAAAGATCCTCTCTCTAAGCTGCCAAATCTAAGAAGTGAGATGATTAGAGTGTCTGTTTCCATGGCTAATAGGTGTGTCACAGGACAGCAAAGAACTTTCCTGGTGGACTGGGAGGATAGTTGAGGAGGTGCCTTCCTTGGAGATTTTTCTCAAAATGGGACATGGCTTCTCCACAGGATGGTTTGGTGAATAGCATGGGGGAATCTTTCCCCATCTAGAACAAACGTGAAAACCTCTGATGCAAAGGATGCAAATGAGCCCCTGACCCCACCCCTGGGCCGTTGTTGTCTGCCATTACAGGAAGTGCATGTCAATCAAAGCTTGACAGGGGAGATAGAGCATTTTATTTTGGAAGCCAGAAGTTTGAGAACAATGACTGGAATTTCCTCTTTCTGTCCAGCAAGGGCTGTTTGTCACTGGGGAGATAAAAGTCCAGGGGTAGGGAATAAAGGTTATCGGGAACAGCGCAACACAGAGCCGTGGGGGGGGGGGGTGGCGGCTGCAGCGGGAGGAGGGGTTATGGAGGAAATCTATTTCAATGCCTGTCATTGAGTTTCCATTAAAAGAACATTCAGTTAGGAATTCAAAAATAATTTAATCTCCCCAGCCAGATGCACCCAGCTGGACTCCTTGGAGCCGAGCCCTGCTGACAGAGAGATCTGCACCGGGGGGCTGCAGGGGCTAGGAACTCCTGCATCTCCAACCGATGCAACCTTGACTGCCCTGGGTGTCGTGGAAGATGTGGGCATCTTTCAGGTTCGTGAGACACCCCGAGACCTGGGCTCCAGCAGAAGAAACTTAACGCCAGGGGCTACTTACTGAGTTCTTACGAGGTTTTAGGTTCTGTTTTAAGCATTTTGTATACATTATTTAATTTCCCCAATGCTTCTATGAGGTACTATTTTTACATTTATTTTTCACTTGAGGTAGCTCAGGTAAGAAACTTGTCCAGAGTTACTAGCTAGTAAATGGCAAGGCTGGGATTCAAACTCCGATCTGTCTGTCTTGAAAGCCCACGTGTTTAAAATGGTTCAAGTCTGCATCCTACCATGGGCCCCCCTCTGAGAGGACCCACCAGGGCCATCAGACGTTTGCCATAAACCCAAGGAAAACTGGCACATATTTCTGGTCCTGTCTTACACTTTGGGAGAAGCCCCTCATTGCTTAGCACAAGGTGGAGCTTCTGGTTAGTGCTTAATAAACCCCTCTGGACTTACATGTTCTAGGAAGAGGTAGTGCTTAACCAGAGCCTCTGGATAATCGGCTAGGTCAGCATCTGGAAATACCGTGGCTATCCTGAAGATCTGCCTAGACTGTTGGTGCAAACTGTCTTCCTACATCGACATATATGCTAACTATACACATGTATACGTGTTGTTTTATTTTGATCTCTGAGTAGTCTTTCATTTTAGGTAGAGACAGATATTATTTCCATTTTGACAGATGGGAACATGGAGCCTCAGTTATCCCCGGAGGACAGTGTCTCCATTCTCCATTCACCTCCGTGTTTCTGGCACCAACACTGTGTCTCACGTGGCCAATAAGTGTTTTTTGAATCAGTTAATGGATGAATGAAGGATTTGCTCGAGTCACTATGGTTCGGAGTGGATTTGAAGCAAAATCCATCCAAAGGACTTTTGACAAGCTACCTCATTCACTAGCAGAGGGGCCTTGACAGAGGACTTCATTTCATCTATGATGACATTTTTATGTGTAAAACGGAGCTTTGAAATGGAGTGAAGGGGAGAATTAAATGAAATAATAGATGTAAGAATCCCTTTATAGAAGTAAATGATTATAGACGTGGCAAAACAAAGTGGGAGCATGGGTTTGGAGCCAAGGGCCTGCAGGGCGAAGAGCACAGAAAGCAGAGGCCTGGGAGGGGCTGGGACAGAGACCAGAGGAGGCCTCCAGAAATAAGCGATAGGTCTGAGGCCTCCTGGATATTGGCTAGGCTGTGAGCTGGGGGAATCTGAGTAGAATCCTGGGGCCTGGGACTTCATTTCAACCCAACAGATGCTCACTGGGGGCCTACTGTGAGCTAGGCACAGAGGGTGCAAGAATGAGGAAGGAAAGATGGTTTCTGCCAGGGCCGTAAACGATCCCACGGGGCTCCCACCAGCCTGGTGGGCCAGAGCTAAGTCGGAAGACAGCTGATTATGGAGAAAGTGATTTTCTTGCCTGATGCCATGTGCTTAGTGTAGTTCCCATAGGTGATATTGATATGATTGTTAAAAAGAGGACAATTGACTATAGTTTTAAAATTATTTGGGATTAAAAGGAGTCTTTATAACATGTACTACAAGGGATATGTAGTCAGAAAATGGTTTTAAAATTACTAGAAGTAGTTCTTCCCTCTGTGATTATGTACCCACTTGACATAGAGTTAGGCTCATTTGTCTCAGGTTTTTTTAACCAATTATTAGAGCTTGTTGATGGTTTCCCTTTTTGATCTGTTTTTGTAATTATGCAAAGAATTTATATGGTTTCAAAAATCATAGAATATAGAAAAGTCATTGCTATTTGTGTTCCCTCCCTACTCTCTCCCTCTTATGGAAAGGTAACCGTTCTTACTAGTTTATCATGCTACTGTTTCACTTGGAAAAGTATAAGCAATACCTATATATTTATATCCTCCCATTATTACACAAAAGGTATCATTCTAGAAACACTGTTCCACAGTGTTTTGTTCACTTAACAATATATCCTGCAGATAGCTACGTTAGGATAATTGCTGATGATACCAACATTGGTGGGATCCTCCTCTCCACTGTCCTTCTCTGGCTTTTGCCGAAGTTGCTGGAATCTTG